TTTCTGAAAGCGTATCGAATTTTTCCTCTTGGTGTTAGGAATCTCAAATTGGATTACCTTGATCTCTACCTCATACATTGGCCCATGAGATTGAAGACTGGAGAATCCTATCCTCCTATAGAGAGCCACCACATTCTCCCCTTCGACTTGAAGTCTGTTTGGGAAGGCATGGAGGAATGCCACAGGTTGGGGTTGGCTAAGCACATTGGTGTTAGCAACTTCACCACATGGAAGCTTGCAGAGCTGCTCCGATATGCTAAAGTACCTCCTGCTGCTGTCCAGGTAGTCTGATTTCCCTTTACCTTTCCATGATTATTGTTGGATGTTCTGTGTGAGTCATAGTGAAAAGGGACGATTTTGCAGGTGGAGATGAATCCAACCTGGCAGCAGAAGAAGCTGAGGGAGTTCTGCAAGGAAAAGGGTGTTCATGTCATTGCCTATTCTCCTTTAGGAGGCCAAGATATGTTCATGGGCAAGAACTTAGTGATGGAGTCCCAAGTGCTTAAAGATATAGCCAAGGCAAAAGGAAAGACTGTGGCTCAGGTTGCTCTCTTAAGAACTACTTCATCCTGTTAGTAGATTAAATCAATACTGGTATAGGATTATTCAAGTCGGTCATGATAACAGATGTAATTTCCAAGTTCAGCTATTATTTCACTAGAATAAAATTAAAAAATTGTTCTTGAAATTAAGTTGGATGGTTGTCATGAAAAGAAAACAATATGATCCCAAATCATTTGCTCCCTTTTGTCTTTTTGATAAAATTTCGAACCACTAGTTAAACATTTGAAAAGGAAATCAACATTAGGGCTTATATTTCTATTCTCTGCTAAAAAAAAAGGATCACTTGAACTTGATTACATAGTAGAATCAATTTCTGACGCCTTCATGCTTAATTCATGTTTTTGATGCTAGATAACATATGGCACTGATTTAGAGTTCAAAAGTTATTTATCTCATGTAATGTTTGTTGTATGTACTAACAATTAGAGTGAACCTTATCTTGTAAATGAGCATGATATTACGACATATTGGAGAACCTTTCATTAACTTGATTGATCACCACAAACTATTTGTGGTCAAGTGTTACTCAATTTTAATCTCTTACGAAACAAATCAGAATACTTTGGGCTAGAATTATCAAGGAAACGAGAATTATAAACTAGTGGTAGAAATTTTGATGTGTTTCAGTTTATAGAATATCAAAAAGGTAACCAGCTGATCTGTGTGGTATTAAAACTCACATCTGAAAGGAATGAGGAATGGTGTAGACAAGTCCATCAAATCATTGCAAACTGAAGAGTTTCTTTATTCTTTCAGTCATGTGAAATCTCAATTAGACAAAAACAAATATCTCTCAGAAAAAAAAAAAAAAATCAAACCAACTTATTCGACGACATTGCTTGTTTTGTTATTTTTTTTTTCTCTTTTATTTTTTCGCTGCATGTCAGTTTTAGTGGAAGATTAGCTGTATGACATGCATTGTAGAATGAGAGGTCCAGTAGAATTTCAATCATAATGCATCAACAGACTGTGTTAATCTAGTTATGAACTGCAGCTTGATGGTTTCTGTTTTCAGGTATCCTTGAGATGGGTTTATGAGCAAGGAGCGAGTATGATCGTAAAGACCTTGAACAAGGAGAGAATCGAGGAGAACATGAAAATTTTTGATTGGGAGTTGAGCGATGAAGACAAACACAAAATCAGCCAACTCCCACAATTCAAGAGAAACACCGTGCGTTCAATGCTCTCACCGGAAGCGGCTTCTAAGCTACCTGATGAAGATGAGGTCGTTGAAGAATAATGGAATTGGTGCTGTTAGATCTTTAAAAACTACTACAGTACTTATCTACTATAAATTAATAGTTACTACATCTTAAGATGTTTGATGAATAAAGATCTGGTGCAGGGATTTGCATTTGATATCTCTCCCTGTTTGTGTTTGGGCTGTATGCAGTTAGTTGATCTTTTGGATTTAGTGACAATCCAATGCTTATGTTTTCCCTTTTCTGTTTCTTGCTTTTGGGATGCTTGTGTTATGTTGTGTTGGATAAAGGAATCATATGAACAAGTATTTTTACTAATAAAAGTAGTGATAGATTGAGATACGGAATATATTTGGTGCAAGTTTTCTTTATAATTGTGGTTGTATTCTGACCCTTCAACCAGAAAACATTTATTTATATCTTTTGCATTTTCCAAACGAATTTTTTTTAATGTCTTTTTCAAAGAATACTATTCAAGAAAAAGGAAAAAAAATTGAAACCATCCTACTCTCAAATATAATTGTAAGAGCAACTCTTTTTCCCTTGTAATAACTTTTTTGGGATGATTACTTTATTAGGATCCAAAGAAAATTACATCCAAGTTGACCTTCGTCGCACGATCTAGCATCATCTTAAAATTTCTATATTAACCTAGAACTAGAAAAACAAATTGTAGTTAATATTTGAGACACAAGCTATACTCAAGGAGATGAATTTGAGTTGCACGAAAAAATTACCAGAAAAATGAAACAAGTAGAAAGGAGGCAATATGTCGAATAAATCAAACAAGAACATTTGATCATCATATTGGAGCTGTTTGCAGTTCTAAAATCACATACAAATTGTTCAAATTAAGCCTCCCAAGAAGCAGTGATGGAAGAAGCCATATTGTTCTGCTCTACAAAACCAGAACATCAAAGCACAAGAAATTGTTTCCACACATGTCCAGTCTTAAACAAAATTAGCAGCCTAATCAGGTTCTTAACCATTCTATATAGAATACTGGAAGATTGTAGCAGATATCAGAAAGAGTCTTAGCATCCAAATCCTCTTGTATGTCATAAACTCCTTTCCTAAGAATAAATTTTAAATCCTATTTAAATGTTAAAGCTTGAAAAGTTCAAATTTTTAACTCCAAATGATATCAAATGCTGATAAAATGGTTTGGAAGTCATGAAAACTTCAAATTCATATTCTCATAGTTCTTACATAAGATTTTAGCCCATATAAGTGTTAGAAAAATTCAGTTATTTTACTTTTTTCAACAAAACAATATAAATTTCTTCTCATGAAATGGCCAACACCTTCCACACAACAGATGATACAAGACTTGTGGGTCAAGTTGGTGTGAGTCTCCAGAAACCAGTTCATGCGATCCACTCTGGGAAAACTTTGTTCAAATCAACCAGCTTGACTTTGGGGAGGAAGACAGGAACCAAATTTGATGTCTTCCATCTCTCCTTTGTCCTGACCAATTGTTGTTTGTTGTTTAGTCAAGCTCTTATGTAGCTTTTTCAACCTGCATTTGGCCCACATATGCCGGAGCTAACATTTGAATTCATTTTTCTCTTCGAATTAGGTTCAGCTAAATCATATTAGGTCAGATTTGGTGTTGTTTCATTGCAGCACCTGTGATGAGTTTGAAGAGTCAACAAAGTACACTTTCACATGAATCATCCGACAGGGCTCACATCAAGATCTTCTGGGTCTTTTGTTTCTCTCCGCCACACCTTCTCATGGATAATACTGTTCAGTAGTCGAGGAAAAGGCATTCCGTCGATGTTCTAATACTTCATGCATTTTATTACCGTTTGAAACTTTGATCCATATTCTAGTCGAAAGAAAAGGTAAATAGCAAGTGATAGAAATAATAGAAGATAAGAACAATATAATATAAGAAGCTTTATTGAAATAGAGAAACTTTAGCTTGAATCTATTAACATGTTCCCTCTCCTATTTATAGGAATTAGGAGGAAGGATTTCCCTAACAGAATAGAAGATTTTCCTCAACAGAATAGAGAAATTTCCTCATATAGTTAGGAAAATCTTATCTTCTATCATGCCCCCGCAAGATGGTGCTCTTGACAAGGATACCAATCTTGGATTGATGCAAAGAATTGTTTACAAGCAAGAGGCTTCATGAGTAAAATAAGTGTAGATCGCTACTGCTGCTGCTGCGATTGCTGTTGTTGTGATGGCACATGCGTTCTCTTCATTTTCCTTAAGTCTGCCGAATGTTGACAGATCAGCAAAGACTACCGCGGTGAGGAAGATGAGGATTGACCACGGAGCCTCTTAGGAATGCAACGGCGTTGGTCACTGGCCGAAGGGTAAAGCTTTACTTTTCTCAGCAACGTTGGTCGCTGGCCGAAGGCAAGAGCGAAGCTTCGCTTTTCTCAACGACGTTGGTCGTGGTTGCGATTACGACGGCTGCGACGGTAGAGAAGAAATCTACAGCAATGTTGCAGTGTTGCTACTATAGCAAAGGAGGAAATTGCAACAGAGGAGGAAGCTGTAGTAGAAGAGGAAGCTGTAGCAAAAGAGGAAGGAAAATAGCTACAACGAGGAAGAAAGGTGGGACAGTGCTGATGAGCAGCACTAGAGATGCCGTAGCGGAAAGGAACGGACGATGGCGCAGAGTAGCAACACCAATGATGAATTGGCAGCGAGAAAAGAGCTTGCTCTAGGCAAGCGGCTCTGATACCATATGACGAGGGCCACCATCGACTCAATGCGAAAACGAGGATCAG